GAGCTAGTATTTGAAAAAGAAAAGAAAACGCGCAATGAAAAAATATAAATAGAAAAAGAAAGAGAGAGAGGATGGCTGGAGATATTACGATACAGAAAAAAAAACACCTATAAGCAATTTTTTATGACTCAAATTAACTTTAAATTTTTTTAAGACTTTAAAAATGTGGATAGTAAAATTGAAATAGGGGACTACTTTTAATATATGTATAGATTGTTGTTAAAAGTAATTTTTACATTCAAAAATTATTTTTACTCAATTTTAATATTAAAAAATAAAGTTAAATATAAAAATAATTTTTGGATTATATAATTTCTGTTGGTTTGATAGCTAAAAAAAATAAAATTGCCAATTTGATACTCGAACCTTCATTTTGTCATTTACTTTGGTACTTCGGGCAACGTCATTAGTCAATTTGCTGATGTAGTATAAACAATCAATAAAATATTGATACATGTCAAAAAGTCTAATTAGCATCATGTTATCAATTGTCATATCAGCATTAATAGAAAAAATTTTTAAAATTAAAAAAATCTAAAAAAATTAAAAAAAACTTGAGATGTTTTAGAAAATTATAAAAATGATGAAATGAAATATTTTTAGAAATTATAAAAATTAAAAATTTATTAAAACTTAAAAATTCAAAAAATCTCCAAATTTTAATAAAAATCTTAAAAAATTCAAAAAATGTAAATTTTAATAAAAATAATTTTTTTACAATTAAAAAAATTCAAAAAAATTCAAAAAAATTTAAAAATAAAAAATCTAAAATCTAAAATTTATTTAAAAAATGAAAATAAAAATGAAAATTTTTAAAAAAATTCTAAAAATTTATAAAAAAATCTTTAAAATTTTGAAAAATAAAAAACAATAAAACTTAAAAATTTAATAAAAAATTTAAAAATATCTTAAAAAATCATAAACTATATAAAAAAATTAAAAATTGCAACATTGAAAAAATGAAAATTTTCATAATTAAAAAATTTTACAATTTTTAAAAAATTTAAAATTTTTTAGAAAAAAATTTAGATTTTTATTATTTTTAATTTTTTAAGTTTTTGTGATTTTTTTGAAGTTGAAGAAAATTTCATTGTTAATTAAAATTTGAGATTTTTTTCAGTTTTAAATTTTTTATAATTTTTAAAAATACTTCAATTTTTTAAAAAATTTACAATTTTTTTTAGTTTTTACAAAATTTTAAAAATTTTCTTTTAATGTTAACGTTATAATTGATGATGTGACGCTGATAGAAGTTTTTGGCAAGTATCAAAATCTTATTGAATGTTCATGTTACGTTAGTAAGTTAATTAACGACGTTAGTCTCAGATACCAAAATAATTGATGAAATAAAAGTTGAAATACTAAACTAAAAGTTTTATTTTTTCATGTATCAAACCAATAAAAAGTATATAATACATGAATTATTTTTATATTTAACCTAAAAAAATAAAAAATATGACAATTCAGTCTAAAAGTTTAAAATTTTAAAACTAAAAAAAAAAGTGTTTTTGCAATAAAAAAATGTTTTAAATAGAAAATAATTATATTATCACTTTATTTCTACTATATTATTTTATGCATATTTTATAGGTATTTAATTACTCATAACACCTTTTTATAATAATATTAAACACTTAAAAATTTTAACCATATTTTTCTCATCATATTTTTTAAATATGTTTTTTAATTTAAATTTTTTTCAAGCACAACAATAATATTAAATTAACCTATAATTGAAAATTCTCAAATCATTTTGGTTATTATCTGTTTTATTTTTCGTGTATCATAATTCTATATCCATTTTCTTTATTTGACAAATGTATGTATTGAAAGGTTGTCAAAAAGAGTTTCTTTCTTTTTTACGTACAATAGTTTTTTTTTTTTTTTTTTAATATAAGTTTTAGAACATGATAAAATTTTGACTTTTGTTGTTGTAAAAACCAAATTGAACATGTGATTCAACTCTCTTCACTATTTCAATTTCTTCTCTGCAACCAAGTTTGAACTGGCAAGAAAGGCGGTTATCTAGAATTTCAATACGGTGTCGTTTCTTATTTATTCAACAACCAACCAAAACCTTACCAAACCAGAGCGACACGTTTCTAATCGGATTTAATAGAGTTTTCGTCATGTTTCGAACATCAGTACGAGTGGGCCCCAAAGGTGTGATTGGTTATAACAAATGGTGATGATACCAAAATTGACGTCCGTTACCTTGGTTGATAGTGACAGCTATCGTAACAAGATGCCCTTGCGCACGTGTCACGATCAAAGTGATATCTACCAGACTGCGAAGAATAAATGCGTCCGCATGTTAACATTTCGCCGTCATCATCATCGTTCATCTCTTTTTCTTTCCTTATTTTGCTTGTTTGCGATGATTTTGAAAATGCTTTTGCTTTATTTTAAGTTTTAGAGCATTTCTCGTCAAACTATCTTATCCTAGTTCCTTAAATCTCATACTCCCTCAGTCTTTTTTTTTTTTAATGTTTCAAAATTATTTTTTTAACATTTAAAATTTTTATTTTAAAATTTTAAAATTAGTTTTTATGAATTTTTTAGTTTTTGACATTAAAAATTATAAAACTTTAATTTTATAAAAAAATTTAAAATTTAATATTAAATATACTAAAATTAAAGTTTTTTTTAAATTACATAAAAATCAATAAAACCAAAACAATTTGAGAGGAAAATAATAATTCAAATCAACTTTTCAAAATTTTTAATAAATTTGGTGATATGGAAAATATATTTTCTTTTCAATGTTCATGTTTAAAAATTATTTATCAATAAAAAAGTGAACAATTTAAAATATGAGACAGTAATATAACATAAAAATAACATACATAAAAAATATAAAAATATAATACATTTTAAAATTTTAACAAAAAATATATAAATTTAATAAAATAAAAAATTATATTTAATATTTTTATATCGATACGAATTATAATACATAATTTTAATATAAAATATAATATAAATATATAAATTATTAATATTTTATATGATATAAATATATATTTAAATCAAATTATATGTCATTTGATTTTTAGTAGTTTTGAATACGGGTTTTCAAATTTCAATATTCATCGCCATGTTTGACGTGATTCATAATGGTCATGAATACTATTTTAAGTGCTAAGCTATCCATGCTTTTTATTTTATTAATAAATATTATTTTATTTTATTTAAAAATATTTTTTTAATATTTTTATAATATTTATAAATTAATTAGACAAAATTCGAGGGAGTTAAACACGAATTTAGGATTTTGAGTTGTCAATCTGATCAGGTACCTCTAATCATAATCTAAAATGCTTTAGTTTTATTTTAATTTTTACATGTTCTATAATTTAATATCCTTTTTAATTGTACCAAAGTTTATAGCAACTAACTAGTACATCTTTCTTCTATCAATTCTTGAATTTATTTTTTTACTTAATTATTTAAATAAATCTTTATCTATTATGCCTAACATGGGCAGTAGACCAAATAAGAAATGGATATTAATATGGATTTAAAATAATTCTCCTTCTTATACTCCAAACAAGTTTAGCATTAGATTAGATTTCGCATCAAATTTGAATCAAATTTGAATAATTTAAATAAGGTAAACATATATATATATATAAAATAAAAAAAATTAATGTTCGGAGATGATAATGGTTCTGTTCAAATCGAGTTTGATTAAAAGTTTTTGATATTATATAATATTATAAAAATCTAAAAATTTGATCTGAATTCAAATCAAATTGAATCAAATTTTATCAGTTTGGTTTAATTTTATTTATAGATTTTTAATTTTTATATATTATTTTAATATAAATTTTAATATATTTAAATAAATGTTAATATAAAATTATTATTTTTATTTTATAAAAATTTAAAATATATATAAAAACTAAAAAAATATATAATTCAATTCAATTTTATTTTTTTAATTTTTTATCTTTCGATCTGAAATCTAATTTAAACATAATATATATATTTAATATCTGAACTTGATTTGAATTAACTAAAAAAAAAATTGATCTGAAACAAACCAAACATTATAATTTTAAATCGATTTTGAAATTTCTTAATTTTTTTTCCCACCCCTACTAGACTTTGATAACATTGTAATAACACATATTTTTTTTTTTGTGACAAATGCATGAATATAACGAAATATTACTGCAGAACTTTCATCTTATTTTTCTTTAAGATTTCTTAATTTTAGATAATACAAAAGTAAATCAATATAAATGTTAAATTATAGAATAAACAAGATAATAGGATAATTTTCAATTTTCAATTTGTTTTTGAAATAAACATAATAGATTAATAGTAATACAAAATGGTTTTTATTTTTTAAGGCAAGAATATAAAATAGCATGTGATATATAATCAAAATATTGGTCACTCACCAAAAAAAACAAAAAAAAATGAAGATATCGCCAATGATATGGAAGGAGTGAGATTGACACATGACACATGCATGAATAAACATACATACATGGGTATTTATGGAAGTACATAAAAAAGAGAAGAAGGAGATTTTAGAATTTGAGAGCTTTAAATACACTATTTTTTTTTCGACATTTACCTTTTGTTTTTAAATTTTAAGTAAAATTATTTAATTTTTTTTTCGTATAAATTTTAAGGCTTACATATATGCATGTTTGGTAAATTTTATAACTTATATAAAATATAAACATTTGATAAATTAAAAAATAAATTAAAAAATCTTATAAAATTTTTAAGTTTTCAATCATATAAATTCGAAAATTTTTAAAAATTTTTGTATATGCAAATTTAGAAGTTTAAAAAGTGATAAATATAAAAAAAAAATTATAATTAAATAATTTGATTTAAAAATAATTAAGAAAAATGTGAAGAGTAAAACAAGGTCAGAATAGAAACTCCCAGTTTTAAACGATAAGTAAATACTAATACTGGTAAATGGGCCTGTAAAATTGACAATGTAAAAAAAAAAAAAATTGAGACGTTGTGAAGAGGTCCAAAAAGGCAGTGAACAGGACAAACGGACATTCAAAGAACGCATCAACCAAACCATTTTCCTCTTTTTCTCTCTCTCATTACCTTTTTCTCTCCAACCCTCTTTTTATCCATCTGCAGGATCATCACTGTAACCAATAGATAATAATATTATTAAAATATATAAAGAGAAGCCAAAGAAAAAGGGGTTGTCCTCTGTTTTACCTGTTACCTCTATCGATTTGCAGAGTGTTTTTTTTTTTTTTTTTAAATCTTAGTATATAAAGTGACGATCTTTGAGGTGGGTTTGGCTTTAACCTAGATTGAAACCATTTAGAAAAGGCAGGTATGCTACTCTTCTAACAACTACAACAACAATTATAGCTATTTTTCTTTTCTTTTTTTGGGTATTTGTTTCTCGGATCATCAAATATGGCAGAACAGTAAAGATGGATTTTTTTTTTTGGTTTACAGAGAATCAGAAAAAGACCATCTTTTTTTTGGGTAGAGGGAGTTTCTATTTGATCATGGCGGTTGCTGAGAATGCTGGGGCGAAAATCGGGTCATCCGGTCAAAATTTGGAAAACACTGTAGTATCGTCTGACTCCAATGCGGTAAATGATCCAGATAAATCAAAAACTAGGACTGCTTCCGTGACTGATGCTAAGACTACTAAAGAAGCCAACTTTGAACAAGAAAAACCAGCAGCAGCCACCGACAGCAATGGCAATAGCAATACTCAGATGCAAAATGGGTTTAATGAAAAGAATCAGCAGCAGATGGTGACAAAGACTGCTGGGCTTAATGGGTTTAGCAATGTGGAAAAAGGGAGTAATGGTGAAGTTTTCAAGAATGAAATGAGAGATTTGGTTGAGATTTTGTCGAAGCTTAATCCTATGGCTGAGGAATTTGTACCTCCTTCCCTTGCCAATCATCATCATCATCATAATCTTAATGATAACCACGATCAAAACAAAAATCAAGATAATCGCTTTTTGGGAAATGGGTTTGGATATAGTACTGACAATTTTGTAGTGCACGCTAATTCTGGCAACGCCAATGGAAATGCTAATAGAAGGGTATGCTACTTTCTTTTTACTTTGGCTTTTTTTTGTTTAAAATTATTTTATAACAATTTTATTGTTTTTGTTGATTTTCTGTTTTCCTTTTTACTCAGAAGAGGAATAACTCTAGCCAAGGGAAGAGAAGGTTGAATAATAGAACGAGCAGTGCACAGTGGGAGGATGCAATTAGGAAGACCGTTTATGTATCTGATATTGATTTACAGGTGACATACTTTCACACTTACGGTTTTTGCCTCGGTTTTACTTTGTGCACTGATATAGTGATATATTACTGATTGATTATGTTTATCCTATAGGTTACTGAGGAGCTTCTTGCGGGTCTCTTTCTAAGTTGCGGACCGGTACTTCTTGTTTCTTCTACTATTTAATACAGAATTTTCAGTTTATCCAACTTAGCAGTGGTGGATTATTACCCTAAAATAACTCCCTGTTATTTTGGTCAAAAGGTTGTTGATTGTCGTATATGCGGTGATCCTAATTCTGTTCTCCGCTTTGCTTTTGTCGAGTTTTATAGAGAAGGTATTATGAAAGTCTTATGCAATTTGGTAAGCATTGATATCTTCCCTCATTTTATAGAATTGATGATTCAATGTTTTCGTAGAGGATGCGAGGGCTGCTTTGAATTTGTCTGGAACCATGCTCGGTTATTACCCTGTAAGAGTGCTGCCTTCCAAGACTGCAATTGCACCTGTTAACCCAACTTTTTTACCCAGGGTAAAGCATCTATATGATGAATGAACTTTATTCACAGTTGTGTATAAGATATAGAAACAGAATCAGAGTCATGTTGATATCTGTTTTCCTCTTTAATTACTTGGCTTTGTTTGTTTTATGCTCTTACAGTCTGAGGATGAGCGGGAGATGTGCTCAAGGACCATTTACTGTACAAACATAGACAAGAAGGTCGTTTTTTCATGTCCATTATTTCTCTTTAATGCTATTGTGGTTAACAACCCGATCAATAATTCCAGGCTTCTTTGTTCAATTGATACAGGTTACTCAAGCAGATATCAAGCTCTTCTTTGAATCAGTTTGTGGGGAGGTCTGTAGTTTCTCATGTGACCTGCCTTATAAATACTGCTTGTCTTATATTTGTCACATTTGATGATTTATTATTGAACATGTTTGCTTTATGGTAGGTTCAACGCTTGAGGCTATTGGGAGACTATCATCATTCAACTCGTATTGCTTTTGTTGAGTTCACAATGGTAGTCGCACTCTTGCTATCTTTATTTACTGAAACTGTTGCGACATCCATTTTTATGGTGTCAGGTTAAATTATCTGTAATGTTCTTTCTCAAGTTGAGAACATTCTGTTCTATGTTGTGGCCTATACCTTAAAATCTTACTTATTCTAAGATGAACAATTAGATGGCCTATTCCCTTGCAGCATTATCTAGCCACTTCTTTGCATGAATAATTTACTTATAAGATGAACAATTAGACGGTCTATTCCCTTGCAACATTATCTAGCCACTTCTTTGCATGAATAATTTACTATCATGCTTTCTCTGGTATTCCAAGCCTTAACTATCTTTTTTATCTTAAAATTCATGGGATTTTTTTATCTGAGGCATTCATTGGATTAAGTGAAGTGATATTGGTCAACTTCTTTAGGGAATATCTCCCTTGTTTTCTCCTGTTTTGGTTTTGGCATCATGCCTCCTTTTTGATTGCTGCTTGATTGTGTTGCTTGAAGTGGTTTTTGAGATGTGAACTATATAGGAAATACATTGTCAAATGGGACTGTGCATGTTGATTTAGGAGAATTAAATTGTGGAAAACTAACGCTGCTGCAAGAGTAGTCCAGATCTTCCCATTGGTCCCTTCTCTCACTACAGTCACTAAGACTAATGGATTGGGAAGATACTGAAATGTCTTTTTTTAAGGTTATGGTCATTTATAGGGCCTTTACAGCTGTTGGTGCAAGACTGTTAAGACCAGTTATGATCGAGCCTGCTGGTCCATGAATTGTTGATTGTAGGAGTGTGAAATGAGGAGCTGTGCTCGCAAGTTTTGTGGAAGTGTGTTGATTGACAGTGAACCAATTCAATGAAACCTTCCTTTACCAGCAGTTGACTTAGGGAAATGAGGGTTTCACATGCTGCAGAATAAATGTTTACTGAGATTAGCAGTTTTAGAAATGCGCAGCTTTCTTCGAGTATCCTGAGTTCTACCTAGGACCAGAGGAGAGTCATGTGTGCCTGGTCACTTAAATCTCAATGACTATTTGCCGTGTTGTTGGAATTTGATTTGTGATGACTAACCTAGTCAGAGGATGCAATCAGGACGTTGTGATATAGAGCATCACTCCATACAACCTTTTGTATTTTATGTTGGCGGCCAGACTGACTGATTGTCCATTCGCTTGAAAGCAGTGTCAGCTTTAAACTTGTCAGTTTATCATCCAGCAACAAAGCCATTTATTGCACCATACTCATGTTGTTGGTGTGCTTTTTCTTTACCTGAGGAACTGCATTATACTTGCACAAGATGCTTGTTAATTTTCCATGTGATTGCCATTGAATGACTGTGCTGCAATTTGTCTGCTGGAGTGTTTCATAATGTTGGCTTTATTTGTAAACTAGTAAATTTGCATGGATGCTGTGTGCAAGGATGATCTTTATGTTTTATTTTTCCACTCTTGCAGGCTGAAAGTGCAATTGCAGCCCTCAACTGCAGTGGTGCAGTTTTGGGATCACTGCCCATCAGGTTGGTTTGTGAGACTTCTCTGTTTGAGTTGATGTCTAGCATTTTAATGATTTGTAAATTCAAATTCTTCCCTAATTTTATGGGATTATTTGCATGTTGCATATGCAGGATAAGCCCATCAAAGACTCCTGTTCGGTCCCGTGCTCTTCGCCCTGCAATGCACTGAATCATTCTTGCTTGTTTCTTTCTCCTGGACTAATCAACTGCCAATATATATATATATATATATATATATATATATTTACCCATATATGCATAGATACAGCAGTATATTCGAGGTACTTTCGGCATTAATGTTATCATCTTGTCCCTGCATCATAGTCAGTATCTTTGTTACTTAAGAGGAAGTTAATCGCCGGTGGTTTCTTTAGCTTGTAGAGTTGGACAGGATTTTGAGGACAGGAATGTTAAATTATGTTGCATATTGCAATGCACTCTCTAGGGGTGATCCCTGAAGACAGATTGTTGAGGCATATCTAACAACTGATGGTTTTAAACAGACTACTTCTACTGCTCTTTATGATTTGTTTGTCGAGTTGGCTTCCTATTGAAATAAGTAAATACATTTTTCTTTCATAGATTTTCTGATTCCATGTCAAATATGATATACTAGAAAGTAGTAACATCTGAAAAGTGGTCAGTACTCTATAGTTAATTATTTAAATGGTTGGTCACTTTGGCAATTTGAGGATGAATTTATTGTATTTCAACTCTGCTTTGACTCGTTAGGATTAAAAAAAAAAATTTATAGGTGTTAAGATTTTTAATCTCAAATTTGTTGCATGTATCTCTTGCTATGAATTAATTAAATTAAAATTTGGATCCTAAAACATTAAAAAATTTTTGGTGCAACTAAACATTAAAATTTAATAATAATGGAATAAGCATTTCCAGTCCTCCAATGGCACTCGGCCCCTTTTTTTTTTTTTTGATAATTTTTAATTTTATTACCCGGTAATTCATTGCTTTCAATTTACAACTCAAATAATTTCATTAGTCACTCTTGCTTCTATACAAATTAGTATTTAGCACTTGTCTAACATACGTGTAATTTTATCTTTAAAAATTTAATTCAGTAAATTTTTTTAGATAATATGATAATAGTGATAAATATTAATAATTTAATTTTGATTTTGATATAAGTAAAATTTGATAACTTTTGATATGATTTTGATTTTGATAATATTTGATATGTTATAGCAATTATTATTAAAAGTTTAATAATTTTTTATAAAATTTTAATAACTTTAATACAATTTTAGTAATTTTTAATATTAGTTTAATAATTTATAATATAATTTTTTTAACCATTAATATAATTTTGGATAATTTTTAAAAAACTTTTGATAATTGCTTGATGAAAATTTGGTAACATTTCATATAATTTTGTTTATTTATGATATATTTTTAGTAATTATTGATAAAAGTTGTGCAATTATATATCTAACAATAGATTTCTACAACAAAACGTGAGTTTTATTTTAGTACAAGAATTTTTTTAATATAATAACATTATTATTTCATTTAAATTTAGAATTTTTTTACTAATTTTTTTATTGAATATGTCCATGGTAAGTTTATGTGAACCTTCCAAAATGAAAGTTTTAATTTTGTTTCTGTTAGTAATCAAGATTCAATCTTTGACAATTTTAAATATAAAAAAATTATCAATAATTATCAATGATTTATTATTAAGTTATTAATGATTTACTATTAAATTATCATTAATTTACTACTAATTTATGAATGATTTACTATTAAACTTTTAATGATTTATCATTAAATTACTAATAATTTATTATAAAGTTATAATTAATTTACTATTAATTTATCGATAATTTACTACAAATGTATCAATGATTAATTAATTTACTATTAAATTATCACTAATTTATAACTAAGTTATTAATGATTTACTACTATGTTATAATTTATTACTAAATTATCAATAATTTATTATTATATTATTATGTATTTACTATTCTATTATCATTGATTTATTACCTAGTTTTCAATTATTTACTATAAAATTATCATAGATTTATTACTAAATTATCAATGATTCACTACCAAAATATTATTGATTTATATTAAATTATCCATAATTTACTATTAAGTTATCACTGATTAACCATTAAGTTATTAATGTTTTACTATTGAGTTATATTGATTTATTTTTAAATTTTCAATGATTAACTATTAAATTATCATTGATTTATTACTAAATTATATATGATAAGCTACTAAATTTATTAATTAATTACTATTAAATTGAAATTAATTTACTATTAAATTATCACTAATTTACTATTAAGTTATCATTGATATATTAATAAGTTATCAATGATTAACTACTAAGTTTTCAATTATTTTTATTAAGTGATATTGATTTATTAATATGGTTTTATGCATTTATAACTATGAAATATGAAATTTAAAAAGTTCACTAATGTCATAACATCTAGATCCGGGGATCTATCGCTAGACATTGACTTTTAGGGAGTCGCCACCAATTTTTTTTATCTAGGTGCGATTGGCTACCTAAGGAATCTGTCATTTCAGAGAACACCTAAGTTTAAGGGTCCTTAAAAGAATAGGTTCAGGTCTACTAACCAGAACAGGGTTCGGGAGTTTGGTTACGTGTGAGGAAGGTTATAGCACCCTCACAATGCCCATCAAAAGATGGTACCAGCTTAAATTTGTGTTATCCAATGAGTTTTAAAATTTTACCAAGTAATTAACTATTGAAAATTATTCTCAATTAACTAATACTTTTAGCAAAAAATTGAGAAAATTCCCTCACCTCAAGAGTATGCAAGAAAAATTACTGTTTCACTTGCAGAGGCTCCATCGTCGGATTATTTAAAGAAAAAAAATAAAAATAAGAATAAAAAGGAAGAAAAGAATGATTGTTCTTGTGCAGGGAAAATTGATACTTTTAACTTTTTCCTAAAAATATTCTTTTGAAATTTTAATTTCGAAGAAAATTGATACTTTCAACTTTTCCTCAAAAACCTTTTTTTTTGAAATTTAATTTTTAAGAAAAATTGATACTTTCAACTTTTTCCCAAAAATATTTTTTGGAAACTTTGATTTTCAAGAAAAATTGATACTTTCAACTTTTCCTCAAAAATTGATTTTTTTGAAAATTGATTTTTTTTTTGGATTTTATTTAAAAAAAATAAAATAATAAAATAAAAGGGAGAAAAATAAAATAAAAGTAAAATAAAGATAAAAGAACATTAAATAATCCTAATTTAATAAAATAAATAAATAAATAAATATAAAAAAAACCAGGAGCGCCTCGGAGTGCGGCTCGGCTCAAGGAAGAGAAACAACTCGGAGGGGCGGCTCAGGACGTCGGCTTGACTCGACTATTGGCTCGGAGGGGGCGAGACATGCGCCGGTCGACGCTCTGGTCGGGTCGAATTTCGACAAAACGCGCGGATCTACTAGGTCACTTAAGGCAAAAACAACGTCGTTTTGGGAGGGTATATAAGGCTATTTCCTTCGTTTTTCGACAGAAACCTTTTCCCCCCTCTCTCTTCCTTTCTTTTTCTCTCGCTTCTCACTAAAACGATTGAAAAACTCCGATTGAATTTCTACTGGATTATGGAATTTTTCGTCGGACTCTGAGTTTTTCACCGGAAGTTCATCGAAAAGTTTATCGATTTCTGGGATCCTTCATCGAAAACTGGGCAGCTCGTCGAAAACTTCAAAGTTGGCCAGAATCGTCGTCGAAATATATAACTTTCACCTAAAAATTCAACCGAAATTTAGAATTTTCCAAAAATTCTCAGAAAAAAATTTTTGTCAAAAATCTCCAAAAATTTTTTTCGATTCCCTCAGTTATTCTAACACTTCTTAACCTTCTTTTAGCCTTCAAAAATCTTCTATACGCCCTTTTCTCTCAATTAGTAGCTTTTTGCTCACTGTTTTTCTCTGTGTTCTTCCTTCTGTTCCAGTACCTATTTATAGGGATTGATTAGAAAAGTTTCTGATCAATCCCTATTCCTTTTTGGATGGAGATTAAATCTTTGAATCCAATCTGGATTCTAATTGAATCTCCATTCACAGTAGGATTCTTCAAAGATCAATCTCAACCCAAAAAAAAAAAAAAAAAAGAAAGAAATCTGATAAATAAAAAAAATCAGATAAACGAAAAAAAAAAGAAAAAAATAACAGATAATTAAAAATAATAATAAGATAAATAAAAAATATTACAAGATAAATAAAAAAATAATAAATAAGTTATAATATAATAATAAATATATAACTAGATAAATAAAATACATATAAATATTAACAGAAAAAAAATAAAGATATACATATATTAATACATAGTAATAATAAATAAATAAATAATAAATCATAAGATACAAAGGAAGAAAAAAATATTAAATAAAAATAAAAATAATATAAAATACAAAATAAAAGCTAAATTGGGCTTACCCATTTGGACCAGACCCAATTGATCCAAGCCTGGACCAAATTGGGTGTCTACAGCTGCCACTCTTTACACATTTTTTGTGAAACAGAAATTGTGCAAAGACGTAGACACCTAATCAAGACTCAACTCGACATTTTTATTTTTTGTTTTTTTTTTTGTTTTACCAAAGCTCCTCTAAGCAGAGGCTCAACGACTTTGAGAAACATAAATAGCTCCTCTAATCAGAGGTTCAACGACTTTGGAAAAATAAATTGCTCCTCTAAGCAGAGGCACCACGACTTTGAAAAGTAAATTGCTCCTCTAAACAGAGGCACCACGACTTTGGAAAGTAAATTGCTCCTCTGTTTGGAAAGTAAATTGCTCCTCTAAACAGAGGCACCACGACTTTGAAAAGTAAATTGCTCCTCTAAACAGAGGCACCATGACTTTAAAAAGTAAATTGCTCCTTTAAACAGAGGCACCACAACTTTGAAAAGTAAATTGCTCCTCTAAACAGAGGCACCACGACTTTGAAAAAGTAAATTGCTCCTCTAAACAGAGGTAACGAAACTTTGAAAAGTAAATTGCTCCTTGACAATAATGTCCAAATGAGTTATAAATCGTGATTGAAGACATTTTGTAATGGGAACTCAAAGATTCACAATTTGAGTTCAACATTCATAGTTCAGATTCACAATAACCTTCCAATTTTGTAAGAATTTACTGAAATTTGATTCTCAAGATTTCAGTTTCATTCAAATTTGCAAGATCTCAAGATTTGCATTTGTAACTTGCAAGACTCACATCAAAGATCCTCATTTGAATTTTGGAGGCTCACATCTAAAAGTTCAAGGCTTTTCAAAGGTTCTCATTTGGTAAACTTGGAATTCATATCCAAAAATCTAAAGCTTTTCGTTTGAATTTTGGAGATTCACATCCAAAAATTCAAAGCTTTTCATTTGAGTTCAAAGGCTCACATGCAATAAACTTAGAGTTTCACATCTAAGTTCAAAGGTTCTCATTTAAAACATTAGAAATTCATATCCAAAAGGTTGAAGCTTTGTATTTTAGAGATTCACATCCAAAAGTTCAAAACTTTTCATTTGTTCGAAGATTCACATTCGACGAACTTTACGGTTTCACTCCTCAAAGACTCTCATTTGAGTTTTCAAAAATTCTTATCAAAATATTCACAATTTGTTTTTCAAGTGACTCAAAAATTTGCATGAATGAATGTTATGACCAAATATGCACATGCCTTCTTAATGATGCAAATGCGGTAACCTATATTCTTATAGTGCCATGCATGTTT